TAAAAGTGTCAGACCATGTAAAGTTACTGAGTGCTGAGGAGCATAGAGCATAAAAGTCTCCAATGCTCTGCTGATCAGTAACTGCAGAGTTTCAAACCTCCTCTGGCATCAACATCAGCACAAAAACTGAGTGCTGGGAGCTTCATGGCAGGGTTTCCATGGCTGAGCAGCTGCATTCAAAGCCTTTTATCACCAAGCACAAAGCCAAGCGACGGATGGAGTGGAGTAAAGCACCGCCACTGGACTCCGGAGCAGTGGAAACACATTCTGTGGAGTGACGAATCACGCCTCTCTATCTGTCAGTCTGATGGACGAGTCTGGGTTTAGCAAATGCCAGGAGACGGTTCATGGTTTGTCCCTCCTCAGACCACTGTGGGTAGGTACTCACCACTGCTGACTACGAGCACCCCATAAGACTTTTGTCTGACCATAACCTCATCGCCCACTTCACATTCATACAAAAATACTGATACACATTGCCCTTCACGGGGCGACCCAGCACATTCCTTGCTCCCTTGTGTGTGTTGTGTAAATGTCTTACGTATTTAAATTGTTCCCATCATCATCATCACCATAGTAATCTTAATAATAATGATAAGAAGAAGAAGAGGAAGAAAAAGGAAAAGAAGAACTCGGCACATAATGCAAGGGTTTTTATATTCTTTACCATAGACACTTGCATGACAAGTACCACCTGGCCAATGAAAAGTGGGACAGTTTTTGGGAAGTGCATCAGGGGCCCCTCAAACAATCAACGTACTAATGTAGTGACTCACCACAAGGAGGAAGCAAGCCAAGATCATATTGTATGGTAGACCAGCATTAACTGTTTTGAGACAACAAGCTAGAATGAAGGAAGGAACCAAGCATGAGGGGAAACCTCAAACTGGTCTGCAAGGATGCTAGAAGATCTACATTTTTGCTCCAACCCAACTCATTTGAGAACAGCTGCACCAAAGCCAAAGTTAAAACTCAAATGCTTTTCTTCTGGAAAGGAGGAGAACTTGGAGTACTGAGCGTACAGACTGCATTTTGTGTTTGCTGTTCTTATTGCGGGCTAATCTAATTGTTTTTCATTGCATTCATTATATAATGCATATATATATATATCTATCTATATATATATATATCTATATATCTAAAAACTATTTCAATAATACCTCAGGCTTCAGGTAACATTTTTGTAACCACTTTATGTAGTAACTTTCGGTGATGTAGCTTTTAGTGGCAAAAAGTCAGTGAAATTCACCTTTACACTTGATAATGAACTGAATCAGGCTTGTTAAAGCAGGACAACCATCACTCTGTGTCATCATCTTAATGTCTATGTTGTTTTATGGTACCATCTTGTAGCGTAACATGGTCAATGAAGAATGGTACAATGAAGGTGAAGGACCTTCACAGCAATTCAGACATGAAGTTACTGTAAAGCCCTGATAAATAAAAGGGTATAAAATATATCAATCACTCTCAACTAAAGGTGTGGAGTTTGTGGGCTGTTGAGGCTGAGATTGGAGAACATGAGCAACAAAAAAAACAAAATGTTAGCAAAATAACAGCAAATATTCAAAGCATGCAGTTCAGCAGCAGTCGTACTTGAATGGTGTCAGGGAGTGGAATAGTGGAGCTTCTTCTGTGACTTTAATTATAATTAATGAATTAATGAATGGTTATGGGGTTTGTGGCTGGGGGAATTTTGCATTTCTTAGAAATGAATATGTTTCCCCTTTTTGGTGGTGCATGTACATTTTCTGCTTAACACTTTGCTGATGATGGTTTATGAGCTCTTATGATCAACAGGATACAGCAGGAACCAGAAAAACTGTGCGCTAGAGCTTATTTCATAGAAAATAACAATTTAAATTGCATTCACAATTAGACATTTTCCTTAAATCATTCAGCCCTGTTTGTAAATGACATATGAACATTTTTAATTTTCTTTTTTCACCATTCATTTATCATCTAACCTACCACATAAACTTAGTATCTCCAACTAGACTGACTACATGTCTGGAGGAAGCTGGAGCACCCAGCGGGAACCCAGATAGAGCATGCAAACTCCACTCCAGAAAACTCCAGAAAGGACCCAGGTTGGGGTATCGAACCCAGGCCCTTTTTGCTGTGAGGTGACAGCGCTACCTACTGTAAATCAGTGGCACCCTAATTTACTTTTTTAAAGATGATATGCAGATGATATAGGACAAAGTGGCGTTTTCGTTGACGTTATCTTGTGAGTAGCGCATCCCGTCCTGGTCAGTCATGGGATTGCTAGATTGTTTAGCCCCGTATGGTTGAAACTAGCCTTCATTTTACACATCAAACTAGAGAATCTGTTGCTTTAGACAAAATCAGTTAGAACACTAGAACCAGATCTGATTTTACTTTACCAAAATTGGATTTTCCTACAAAAACACGTCACTGTTTCACACTAAGCCATCAAACGTCTGCTGTCAGCTAAGGAGAAAAGTGGGTGTGCACAGCAGTGCGATCACCCCTGTGGAATATTCCAGACTGGTAAAACTGGGGATGTTACAACCTTCTCCAGTCAGTAATTCCATATAAGATATATTAAGAAATCTCTGACTACATTTGAAATGAAACAGGTAAGATAAGCGCTAATGAAATTAATTTGGGTGTTGTGGAATATAGTAGTTATCTGGAAGCACAGTCTTACACTAAAAAGGACAAAATCTCCATAGAATAATGTACATTAACTGTTATAAACTCTTTTATGGATGAAAAGTTACTTACAGTACATCAGCACTCACATGAAAGTGAACAACTCACTATAGCTGCTCCAGAATCAACCAGAGTAGGAATGAATGACAAATGACTCAGTCTCAGAATCTTATCTAAATATAGTGTTTCATAACATACAGATTAAACCTTTACAACAGGGACAGGAGACCATAGTGGGCACAGGCTTGGTGAAAGTGGAAAAACATTGCCTGGTCTGATTAATCTCAATTTCTACTATGATATTAGATGGCAGAGTCAGAATCTGATATGAATAGCATGATTCCTGGTACCCTGCCTTGTGGAAACAGTTCAAGCCACTGGTGGTGATGTAATCATGTGGATAGTGCTTTGTTGGTACATATTGGGCCTCCTAAAACCATTTTGAACGCATTTTGAAGCATTGTTTGAACGCCACAACCTAACCACACACATCCTTTTGTGGCCAAAATTTACTCATCTTGTAGCACGACCTACTTTCAGCAAGATCCATGAACATGTCACTGATTCAGTGCACTTCAGTGGCCTCCTCAGTCACCAGATCTGAATCCGATAGCATGTTTTTGGGATGCGGTAGAACCGGAGACTCACAGCATGAACGCTCACATATATTACATGCAGTTATGAGATGTTTTTATGTCAGCATGGGTCAGAATTTCTAAGCAATGTGCACTAAAAATGATAATTTAATGCCACGTTCAAACTTTTGCATAATACTATAGTTTATTTATTATGTTGCCGCTAAACAAAAACACAAAAATAATACAAGTTTAAAACTGCAGCTTTTTGTAATGAGTGTTTATTTATATTTCCTTTCAGTATGAACACAAAGCAAAGATTTTCGCGCCACCAAAAAACAACCCTGTTGGCCTTTCCCTCAAAGAAAAACGAGATAAACAAACAAAAGCTTTATGGGTAACACTTTATTTTGATGGTCCATTGTAGATGCATAGTCTGTCTTTAAGTAACACTCAACTAAATATCTATTAAATGTATCTGAACCTGAAGTTGAGTGTGATAGATTCTACCAAATTTAACCCTTAACCTAATCCTCAAAACCTTAACTTCAACCCAAAGCCTACATCTGCTCCTAAACCTACACCGAAGCCTCATCATAATGTTGATAACCAATTCAGTATAACTAGAAAGTCTGTTAGAAATTTAAGTAGCTGTTGACCATCTATAGGAGACCAAGAAAATAAAGTGTGTATTCCATGTGAGTTTATGAAATATATTATTAAATACACAATTTGCACTCGCCTGTTTTGAAAATGTATTAACAGGATCTCTGCAGTTCAGTCAGAGATATTACACAGACCTGGTGTCATAAAAACAACAGTTTGGAAACAAATCAATGAAAATACATTAATTAATATCCATATTTTAATGTGAAGGAATATTTTGCTCAGTAATGATTCTATTGATAATTTCAGGATTGACTGAAGACTTTCAGGTAACACTGTAAGAAGCAGGGTTCAAGTAGTGGTGGAGGTCTTGTGGTGGTGGAGGGGGGTTCCCTTCTGAAAAGTCTGACCATATGGTGACCTATGTATTGATGCTTACCAGCTTATTATCTTCACAATCTATTTTTGTGAGATAAACCCTGTAGGTGTTTTATAAACATTACCAGGCAGTAGTCAGACATATTAAACATATATTAAACATATACGTGTACAAGTCTCACACGTCCTGTCTGCATTTTGTACTGTATCAACGAGATGCTGCGCTGTAGTCTGGTGTGTGATGGCCACAGTCAGCAGGTCAAGCAGCCCACCTTTTTCTCTGATTTTAGATGTGCTTGAGCTTTAACCTCCTCCAGTTTAAAACCAGAGTAATCAAATTAGTTACAGTTTATCCAGGAGTACAATCTAATGTCGAAAACATTGGAAACCAAAAAAAGACGATCACCTCATGTGAGGGCATTCATTTTGTCAAAGAAACCCCAAAAAACATTCACTCATTTCACTCATTATAGGGGTTCCTAATATGGTGGGTCTACTCTTACAGGGTCAGTCCAGGCCTCTCCCCTCAATTCAAACCCTGGTTTAAAGGCAAATTATGTGGAGCGCTGGGCTCTGCGTGCGTTTGATCAGGCTGAATCGGGAGAATCTTTTTGCACACCAACACACAAAGGAGTGAGTCTGCGATCACTCTCAAACACCTCACAGAGAAGGCTACTTTGATTATAGCCATAAGATACTTGAAATTTTCATAAACGAAATAATTATATATAAAGAAGCGATAATTCAGGGTAAAAGTGGTCAACAAATTGGGCAAATAAAGAGCAATCGTAACCATGGCAAAAGCAAGCACCCAGCATCTTGGCTTTCTATTTGTATTTGGGACATGATGTGAAGGAGGGGCTTTAAAGGTAAACACGATCGTGACCATTAATATTGGAACTGACGTTAGACAGAATGCAAACTCTTTCTGAATAAGAAAAGACATGCAAGCAAGGACGTACAGGCCGACACAGAGTGAAACTGAACAGGGACGGGAAAAAAGGTCTGTGGTGTAGAGTGGATGTCTCAGAGACAGTATGCTCTCCAGCGCCACAAGCTGGTGCAAGTGGAGCCCACAGGGCTCAACCATTTCAAACAGTTTAGCAGTCCAGTAACAAGCCTTTGAGCTGCAGGGGATGTTTAGACACTCTTTTATTACAGGTGGACTAAAGGCTGATTGGAGAACGACGTTCAGGAGGAGAAACACCATGCAGACTGACACTCGGCCTCCGTTCTTGTGCCTGCGGTACAGAGTGTGGAGGGCCCAAATGAGGGCTGGATTGCCCACGCACAGGCTAGCAATGTGGAAGGACGCAGAAGCAATCCCAATGTCATCAGGACCTTTGCTGCGGGACTCAGCAGACATGGTGACGTACTTTATAAGAAAATGAAAGAAGAGAGAAGAAATGAGTGAATGCAGTGAGTAAGAAGATCATTTGTTCATGAATACATGATAAATGATGTACTACAAACTAAACGGTCAAACTAAATGGTTTCAGATCCTCATACAAAAGGTAAAACAAGATTTTACACTTTCTTTACAGAACTGCATTAATTCAGCCACATTGTTGGGCTTTCAAACAAAAACTGCCTGTTTGAAGTCCTTAAATAGGCCTTAATTTTGTTTCTTTTATGCCATTCAGAGGTGGACTCGCACTTCTGCTTTGGATCATTGTCTTGCTCCATCCAGGCTGTGAAGTAGCAAAGCATTTCCACACCATCACACTACTACCACCACCATGCTATATGTATATGAGATGTAACTTTTTTTGGGCAGTAAGCATGTCATTGTTAAGAAATGCTACTAATATTAGAATGAATACAAATAAATAAAACAACACACAGATTTTATGTGTGTCAGCCTGTTAGCATACTTAGTTAGCATACTCAGTTAATCAGTTCTACAGAAAGTTAGTTCTACGTTAAGTAAGTGCACTGGTGATAAAATGTAACAAATTTTGCATTTTTTCCAATGTTTACAGGCCAAATATACGGCCAAAATAAATACTTTTAATTAGGGTTCTTGGCTGTTTTGACTGCAAATTGAACAGATGAAGGTGGGTCTCTGACTTCTGCACAGTACAGTATATAGTCCAGTGATGATTTACGTCATATTTTGTCAAAAGAAAAACGATACAGGATTGAAATGACCATTCATGTTGTTTTATTTCTTATTTTCTTTCTTTTAGCATGAATACAAAGCAACAGATTTCCAGGCCACTACAAAACGACCCTGTTTAACAGATTTATGACTTTCTCTTAAAGAAAAAAAAAGAAAATCAAAATAAAAAAAACTACAAATAAACAAAATACAAATAAAAAAACAAACAAACAAACAAGACTTATGACATACTGACGAATATTGATGAAAAACTACCAAAGGCACTGGCTTGTGTTGAAAATGTATTTACTAGATATTCATAGTTCATTCAAATGTATTACCCAGTGTGTTTTAAAAACAACTTTCCAGGAGAAATCAGTTAAAATATATCAATAAGAATCTCAAACGAGTGAATCATTTGCTCATTTTGCTCAGATTTGAATGATTTGAATGAAAGTTTGAGGATCTGCTGAGGAATTCTAGGTATCGCTTTTTATGACATTTTATGACAAATCATGTGGAGCGCTGGGCTCCGCGGGAGTCTGTTCAGGCTGGATCGGGAGAATCTTTTTGAACACCAGCACACAAAGGAGTGAGTCAGAAATCACTCTCAAACTCCTCAGAGAGAAGGTTACATCTATTGCAGCCAAATACTTATTTACATAACGACTGTCATATAATTCGAGGTAGTGGTCTGAATACGTGATAAAATAGACCAACAAATAGGGCAGATAAAAAGCAATCATCGTAACCATGACAACAGCAAACACCCAGTACTTCAGTTTTCTATGTGTAGTTGGGACATGATTTGAAGAAGGAGGGTCTTTAAAGGTGAAAATGTACATGACTATTAATATCGTAGTTGATAACAGAGTAAATACAAAGTGTGAACGGGTAGCGACACACATAAACGCAGGGACGTACAGGCCGATACACACCATAACTGAACAGGGACGGGAGAAAAGGTCTGCGGTGTAGAGCGGATGTCTCAGAGACAGTATGCTCTCCAGCGCCACAAGCTGGTGCAGATAGATCCCACAGACATCAGTCGTTTTAAACAGTATCACAGTCCAAAAACAGACCCTTGAGCTGCAGTCACGCAGAGACTCTTGTATTATGGGTGGAGTAAAGGCTGATTGAAGAAGGACGTTAAGGAGGAGAAACGGCATGAAGAAGGTCGTTCGGCCTCCGTTCTTGCGCCAATGGTACAGAGTACGAAGAGCCCAAATGAAGGTTGGAATGCCCACGCACAGGCTAGCAATGTGGAAGAATGCGGAAGCAATCCCAGCATCACTAGGACCTGGCATGGTGAGGTACTTTGTAAGAAAATGAAAGACACAGGTAATGAGTAGTTGATATGGTGAGGAATTTGTTAGTCAATGAATGAGGAATTATAATGTACTAGTTTTGTAACTAATGACTCAGGACACATTTTTCCAGCTCCGGTTATGAAAAGACTGCAGATTTCCCTCATGTACCTTGTTTACTGAAGCTTAAAAATGACCTAATTCACGTTTTTGAGCAATAAAAATGCCAAACTTTGTACTGTATAGTTTCCTAGGACTAAAGTTGGAAATTCATCATCCAAATATCTAAAACTGCACAACCACCCAAAGGATTTTTTTTAACTAAACATGTTTAACCGCTTCACAAAGTTTGAAGATGTAGGCTATAGAAATGCAAAACTTTTTTTCTGTACAAGTTATAGTATTATAACCCAAACAGGAAATAAAATGAACACTGATGAATATAGAATTAATATAGATATTTTATGAATTTGTACATTTATCGCTGCTTTTGGAACCAAACCTCGTATCTCCAAAATGGAAACTTAAGAGGAGAAGGAAAAAACATACTTTACTTTTAAGTCAAGGTCAATGGAACCAGACATTTCCAATTAATTTCAGGCCGTTGCTTTTGGTCCCTTCATCATGAAATTTACACACAATGGAAAAGAGCAACAGGCATTTTCAAAATAGGTCAATAACGACTGAAAACTGAGATACAGAGTTTTGTTCTAAAAAAAACACTGACATGCTGCTGAGGTTTTCACAGGTTATTGTAACCCGCGAGGTTGAGAGGGCTGCGCCACCCAAGCATTTTCAGCAAAGAGCAGCACTGTGGTCAGAAACTGTTAAAGGGTTGAGGGTGGCTAACACAAATTGTGTATCAGCAAACGGGATCAACATCTCTTTACAAACACTGAAGGTCCAGCTGTCTGACCAATATGCACTGAAAATATATTCTAAATGAATTCTGAATACAAGAATCAGTGATACTAGAAACTGCATTCACCCTGTTTTCGTATTTAACATGCATTCATATTAACTCTGTTTATACATATTTATGTGTGTGTAATATATACATACATACATACATACATACATACATATATATACACACACACACACACACACACACACATACATACATACATACACATATATATATATATATATATATATATATATATATATATATATATATATATATATATATACACACATATATAAATGTACACACACACACATTTAGGACATGGAGAAGTGGTGCCCACCAACAAAACCACCCAATATAACAGAAAACTAGAACAGTGACTGTTTATAAGATGTAGTTATGCTTTATATTTTAATGTAAATGTATTTTATTTAAGCTTTTTTTCACCCAGTGTATTTACTGCAAACTATTTTTTATTTCTTACTATTTTTAACTTTTTTTTTTTATTTAGCAATTTTTTTTTTTTTATTTGAGGTTTTGACTAAAATTTAACTGCTGCAAAACTAGTTATCTGTAAACTTGGATATCACAGGTCATTTTCAATACGAGTCTAGAAGGTAAAGGGAGCAAGCACAGGACAAAAACAAAGAAACTATGTAATGTACACAGCCGTTATTGTGATGATGTGTAAGAGATACAACACTGTCAACCAGTAAAAGGTAAATATGTAAACTCAGTACCTGTGAGTGGAGTCAATGAGGCAAAAGATGCTTTGCTTTTGTTGTTTTTGTAATCTTGATTAATCAGGACTGCTTCCTTCGGGGCCTGACGTGACGCTATGATAAGAGATCACAAGATATATAGTCTAAGACATTTATAGCTCCAATAAAGTGTGCTTAGTATTTTTTAAGAATTTGTGAATCATCATAAAAATACATTTTAATGGACTTCTTCACTTTTTTATGTGCTTTAGTGTTAAATCTTCACATACACAAACAGTTGCATGCAAGAATTTGAATATCCCTGGTCAAATTACTTTGATTTTCTAAGTGTAATAAGTTAATACTCCCTTATTTGAACAGAGGAGCCAAAATCTTTCCATGCTATATACTGTAAAGATTAAAACATTGTGGTTTTAATTGTTTAACAAATGCTTAAATCATTAAAATATATTACAATAATACTATTTTAAATTTTAAAACAAATCTGGTTGCAAACTCTGCATGGTAAATAAAATAATTAGATGTGTGCCATCATGACCCCTGGCGTCTCTACAAGTGGAAAAAATTTTTTTTTTACATCATGTCTTCATTGTATTTAATGTAGATGTGCCTTATTACTCATGTCAGTGTGTAGATGTGTCAGGTCACTAATGAGCTGAGTTGTGTACCAACAGCTGTCAAAATGCTCATGCGTTTAAAATATTACATAAATGCTCAGGCTGTAACCTGCAGTAGGAGAAATTATCACACTACATAGAATCTCTTTAGGTAATGTATAAACAAGAAGACTAGTTTAAAAACAGAGTTTCTGATTTAATGTAAAAAGCACATAATTTACATATGTAAACGTGAAATTCACCATCAGAAATCTTACCTGAATCGTGTCAGCAAACAGAACAGAACATGCTCATGTGTGATCATCAGTAACACGAATGCTTCTGTGCTTTGAGGCTGGAGGAGGTTTTCAGTTTTCACCAATGAGGCAGGCTGTTTCAGTTTGCAGGTTCTGTGGTTCTATAGAGGCGCATGTACAATTTCCTGTTTGAAACTGCTGATGATGGTTGTTCATGAGCTGTAATAACCAACAAGTGAGAACTCCACATGTTCACTGAACACAGGTTAGGAATGTACAACTGAAACATGATTCCATCTGTCACCATCTAAATAACCTAATGTATCAAAAAAGTAAGCAAATAAATACGTACATTACTGCAGAAAAGTCAAAGACCACTCTTTTAGCTAGTTTCTAGTCCTAACAGCTACTGAAGAATGTTTAGCTAATTTTCAGTGTCCGAAATACAGAACAATATAATTAAAAGAAAACTAATGAAAACCCTCCAAAACAATATTAAACCTTTGTGTTTAATGTCTGTTTTTATTTTCGTGCACCTGCTGCCACTTTAACTCTTCTATCCTCCGATCATGAAGCCAATCAGTTACAGCCGTGACTCACTGATATCATGTTCCCCTTCAAGCAGACACCAACATTCACACAAGCAACTACTCAAACACACCTCACCTACAGATTTCTTTCTGATGTGCATCTAAAATGGAGATATTTCTGAGGAGATTACATATAATACAATCCAGGAAAGGAGAAGAAAAAATAGGAGTTTCCAAAACTAAAGTTCAAAGAATTAGACCTATTAAAAAGATACACTGATGTTGGATGAGAGGGCCTGGCTCGCAATCTCTGTTCTAGTAGGTGTTTGATGGGGTTGAGGTCAGGACGCTGTGTAGGCCAGTCAAGTTCTTCAACACCAAACTCACCCAGCCATGACTTTATGGACCTTGCTTTGTGCACAGGGGCTCAGTCATGCTGGAACAGAAAAGTTCGTCACCAAACTGTTCCCACAAAGTTGGAAACATATAATTGTCCAGAATGTCTTGGTGCTGAAGCATTAAGATTTCCCTTCACTGGAACTAAGGGTTCTAGACCAACCCCTGAAAAACAACCCCATATCATTATCCCTCCTCCACCAAACCTTACAGTTGGCATAGTGCAGTCAGGCAGGTAACGTTCTCCTGGCATTCGCCAAACCTAGACTCGTCCATCAGACTGACAGATAGAGAAGCGGGATTGGTCACTCCACAGAATACGTTTCCACTGCTTCCACTGAGTCCAGTGGTGGCATGCTTTACCCCATTAGCACCGCCCCCCTCCCCACCGGAATGAAACCCATTTCATGACGCTCCTTTCGTGCAGTTCTTTTGCTGATGTTGCTTCCAGAGGCAATTTGGAACTCTTTAGTGAGTGATTCAAAAGAGGGTAAGTTTGTGGTTGAGCTGTTGTTGCTTCTAGATGCTTCCATTTCACAAACAGCTCTTATAGTTGACAGGGGCAGATCTAGCAGGACATATTTCACAAACTGACTCGTGGCAGAGGTGGCATCCTATGACAGTGTCATGTTTAAAGTCACTGAGCTCATCAGTACAACTCATTATACTGCCAGTGTTTGTCTGTCGAGACTGCAAGGCTGTGTGCTTAATTTTATCCACCTGTTAGCAATGGGTGTGGCTGAAACACCTGAACTCAATCATTAAGAGGGGTGTCCCAATACTTTTGTCCATATAGTGTATAAAGACAATGGGACTCCTAACAATTACCTGCAAGGCCTGGTAGACCCAAAACTATTTCCATCAGATAAACAGGACAAAAGCTTTCATTTCTGAGAGAGAGGAGAAAATCAAGACCCACTCTTTGAAAACAGAACAGAAAAAAGAAGCACATTTGCACTAGAACACCGAAACTGGCCAACAGAGGTTCAGAGAAAGCTTTTATAGACTGATGAGTCTAGATCTGCGATTACTCAGATTGTAAGAAGAAGAAAATGCAACTTCTAAGACTGAACTTTGGAAATGTTTACAGGAAGCATGGAAATAATATCCCTGCAGATTTGTTTAAAGACCTGAAAGCAAGAGGCAAAAAGTGATCACTCTAAATACTGAAACGGGCTCTGTAAATAAACCTTCCAAATATTGATGAGAGTTTCTTGGATGCTACACAGTCATAATGAGAAATCTCTTCCAGTTCAGGAGATGAGAGCGTTCGAGATAAAATATTGGGAATTTGGGAAATAATACAGAAAATAAGTAGTGGCATTTTGAAATATAATGGTTATATGGTTATCTGGAGTGATGACCAAAATCTCCATGAACTATTAAATAATCTTTCAGAAATGTAAAAAGGGGCCTACTCCTTCATGAACGTGAACAGCTCATTTCTCTGTGTGCCAGAGGAAAAAGCCACACTCAGAGCTTGTAGCTGCTCCAGTGACAACCAAATGTACAAAACATACATTAAAACCACTGGGTATTTACATCCACACCTGTAAGGAGAAGAGGAGAAACCAAGATACAGATAGAACACACCTTAAACCAGGTACTTCTGTTCCAGAACAAGTATTCTGTAGCACTGAGACTTTTACAGTTGAAACGATCAAAATATCCTCTTTATTTTAACTATAACTTTCCTGTACAGGCATGGAAGAAATCGGAGCAGGATTAACACTCTGCGGTAGGTGCTCACTTGTCTTTCCATACATACTGATTGTTTAATTTTTACCATATGATAATCACCCTGTTGCTCTGTTTCCTTTTGAGACTTGCAGCTTGACTAAATCTGTGGTTTCCTTTGGGGGCGAACCTATTTGCAAGGCACATTGTGCACCATACATCAAAGTATATGTTAAAGTGCAGTGCCACTTATAGTTGAAGCTGCAGTAAACAGGCATGTTTCCTGTAAAAGGACCCCAATTCTCTCTCTAGATACATTCAGCTTTTTACAAATGTGTCTGCTGCATAGACTTCAGAGGGTGGCACACAACTACAAATGGCTTCCACCATTGTTTTAACTCTGTGCACAATTAAGTGGTTAAGATGCTAAAGCCATTCATAGTGATTTGGTGGTTTGGTGTGAAATGCTCAGTTCTAGAGTCTGAATTGTTCACAGTGGTGGTGATAAGAACCAGACATCCACCTCGAAAAGCTCCCTCACAGAAAGTTATTACATGAAGTGGTTTCAAACATGCTGCTTGATGCCTGAAACATTGCTTTATGATGGTTCTGAAATAAAGTTTTGGCCTAAAATGACTTTTTAAAAGGCAGAAAGATACATGCAACATTTTGAGGCTAAATAGACCCAAAATAGACCCAAAGGAAAACGTATTTTTTCAGATTTATGACTATTTTACCATCAACATTACACATAAACACTCAGAAGACACGTGTTGGTCCACTGGTGGTTTTGGATAGTAAATAAAACGACTATATTTGTGTTGTAGACATCACATTAGAACCTAAACATTCAACAAGTCAAAAGAAGTCAGATTTGCAATGTTATAGTTTGTAAAAGTTGCATTTGGTGGTGAAAAGACACTTTAAGACTTGGACTCTGCTACATAACACTGACATAACCAAGCCATAAATATCTACCTGCAGAGATCATACGCTGTCATGAGCGGTCAGATTTTATTTAGACATACAACCGTGTCATGTCATTATCGGTAAACGTCATGACAGATGTCACAATGTTTGATGTCAACAATGCAAAAATGGTATCTTGTCAAGTGAAATGATAAAAAACCTCATAATGTTCTGTGTAAAGGAAACGAAATGAATAGTTCTTTGAGGAATATGCCAGTGTTTTATAACAAAGGGTGGAAAAAGTACAAAAAAATAAACTTAAGTAAAAATTTATTAGTCAATTAAAAGTATGGAGCCAACACATACTCCAGTGAAAGTTCTTTAAAAAAGTAATGATATTTCAACACTGTACAAAAATGAAAAATAAACTTTTCAACAGCTAATTTAAAAGCTTGGTGTGGTAGTGTGTTTCGGTGGTGCGTGTAGTGTGGCAACTAAGGGGCAGTACTGGTCCTCACACAAAGAAAAATTAGTGTAGCTGTAGACAGTATCAGTTTATAATGGGATGAATTTGGTTTGATGTTTTCCTAACGAGAAAGTCTAAATGAAAATGTAAGGAGTAGAAAATGTTTCTCTAGGAAACGGAAATGATTAAAAAAACAAATATTGAGTTTCAATAATACCTGGGTAAAGTACAAATCTATCTTTAAGTATAGTAACAAAGTACAATTTAAGTATTTTCCAATAATTTAGATGATTTTCCCTGAAGAACATAAATCCAGGTGCCAATGGGCAAAAGTTCCTCCAGTGCAGGGGTTTCCAATCCCAGTGAACTAGTGAGCCTTTGCTCTGTATATATTTGTGGTTGCTCTTCTCCTCACACCACCCAGCCAACAAGCACTTGTTAAGCAGTCAATGAGTTGAATCAGGTGAGCTCAATGAGACAGGTGGAGATGTTGGTTCACCAGAAGAGGAATCGGGAACCCCTGTTGTAGTGCTTTCTCAGCTCCCAACACACCTCAGGAATGACTTGTTCATTAGTTGGATCAGGTTTGTTGGGAGCCCTGGAAGCTCTAAAATGTGCTCCTCCAAGACCAAGAGTGAGAACCATTGTTCTATGGGATCTGTCCAAACAACCCTTACTGGAACCTCATATAATCAGCATAATGCTGTTGTTGGAAGAAAACCTCATATCTCCATTTTTGTCATTTAGTTTTTGACATAGTTTGAAAATGCATGTTGTTCTTAACATTGTGTGTAAATTACATGCTGAATGGACTTAAAGAAATGGCCGAAAACAACCTGTAAGAACGTCTGGTCCCATTGACTTACATTAAAAGTAAAGTATGTTTTTTCCTTCTCCTGTAAAGTCAACATTTTGGAGATTTTGGAGGTTTTCTTCCAACAACAGTGATGTTTTGTATGAAATGATTCATGAGTACCTTTAAGAGATGGTTTACAACATGTTTACAAATGAAACTGGACCATCTATGGACTTTGGCCAATCTAACAATGTAATGTTATAACAAGCTTGGTTTCTTTCACAGGGATTTTGTCCATTTTCTTGCCCAACACCATTCAGGCAGGTAAGTGGG